TTGCTGTTAAACTTAAAGCTATAGATTATATAGCTATAGTATATTTTTAGTATTTTTAGTCTTATTTAAAAGCCTTGCCTTTAGCTAAGATAATAGCTTTATACTCTTTATCTTCCTACTTTTAATTTATTTAATTTTTAAATTTAGTATTAATCTTATAAACCTATTCCTAATTAGCTAAATTATCCCTATCTTTAAGGTTTTATAGCATTCTTTAATATAATTATTACATCTTAGTCCTAGGCTTATATATATTAATAAGCTTAAGTATATAAAGGCTAGCTGCTATTATTAAATTTAAAGGCATTATAGTAATATTAGTTAGTAAGTTTAATATTATCCTAGCTAGCGCTAATAATAGTAGCAGCGCCTGCTAATAGGCAGTAGCAGCCTTATTATTTTTTAAATTAATAATATATTTAAAAAGACTAGGCTCTTACTATATATCCTTACTTTTAGCTAACTTCTTAAGGTTTAGGCTACCCTTAAAATGCCTTTTACCCTAAATAATAACTAGGTTATAAGGAATTAAAATTACATTTTTTTCTTTAACTTTAATCTCCTAATACTAAAATTAATATATATTATTAAGCTTAATTAGCTAGTTATTTAGTAATTTTTTAAAAATTATATACTAATAAGGAAGTTTATAAATTATCTTAAAAAAGCAAGGGTTATATATTATTAGTATTACTTACTTATTAAGCTAATAGGCAGTAAAATAGTGCTTTTTTAGGATCTTTTATAAAGCTATAAAGCTAACTTGCTTATTTACTAATAAATATAATTATTAACAGCTTAAATTTAAAATCTTATTTATCCCCTAGGCCTAATAAGTCTAAATATCTAAGTCTTAGTATTACTAGAAGTTATTAAGCTAAGAAAATATAGTTATAAAATTACTACTACTATTAATAATATATTTTTTTATTACTAAGTATAATAACTTAGTAATTAATATTATTATATAGCTAAAATACTACTGCTAATTAACCTAAAAGTATATAATCTTCTGCTTTTATAAAGTAAGCTATATATCCTTAATATAGCTTATAGCTGCTATAAGGTATACCCCCTGGCTAGGCTAGGCATTAGAGATAGCTTTAAGCTGCTAATTATATTCCTTCTTAAAAGAAAAAGCTATAAGCTAATTCTACTTTTTTAGGAATGCCTAGAACTAGGGAGCTTGCTTTATTTATTTAGTATTAGGATTATATATAGCCTTAAGGAAATATTGCTTTATTTTTATAAGTATATTTATATTAATATACTAATAGTATAGGAAGTGTACTACTATATTAGTTAAAGGGTATTCCTTTAATGCTTTTATAAGGGCAAGCTTTTAGTTTATAATAATAATTACTAGCCTAGTAATCTTAATTTTTAAAAGGAGGTCTTATAAAATCTTAATAGCCTAGTTATAGTAGCTTTACCTCTTTTCTATAAAGAATATAATAGTAACTTAAAAGGAATTTATTAATAATATAATGCTAAAGATATTAAAGAGCAGCATATTAAACTTATTTATCTTATATATTAAATCTATAAATAAAACTAAAGGAAAATAATAAAGAAATTTAATACTAGACCTTAAGGTAATAAAAAAAGCTTCTAGTTAATTTTACTTATCTTAACAGTCTTAAAAATAGTAAAATTTATTATCCTTTAACTTATTATATATCTACTTTATTACTATATAGCTAGTAAGCTTTTATTAATAATGCTTTAGCATAAAGTTATAAATATTATAATAAGTAAGACCTTAAATATCTGCTTTTTTAAAACTCTATAAGTGTAAGAGAATTTAACTAGGTTTAACCTTAGTATTATAAAGTGTAATAATGCTTTTCTTTCTCTTTTTAATAGCTATACTGCAGTATTATAAAAATGCTACTAGCAGGAGTATTAGGTAATTATGTTAAGTAAAGGTGTTATTTTAAGTATGTTAAATAATCTAAAGGCTTGCAGCATTACGCCAGCTAATAATAAGCCTAAAGGGACAGCCTATTATCTAAAAGCTTATCTTATAGCACTAGGTAATAGGATTCTCTTTATCTCTCTGCGATTTAAAGCTCTTTCCTTTACAGCAGCGGAATTTAACGCTATTAGGCCATAACTAGTGCTTAGCTAAGCTATAGCCAAGAGTCTAACTGAGGTTATTAATAGCAACTCTAGCCTTATTAACAGATTAGAATTAAAGGCTATATAATAACTCTATAGCAGCAGCCGCTAGTATAAGGATTAGAGTTGCAAATAGCTTTAATATAACATCTCTAAGATGTTAGGCGTTAGGCGTTAGTCTTTATTAGTATCTATTAAGATACTGTGTGTTTTTTTTTTTATAGAAAACGCTAAGAAAATCTAACACCAGGCATGCGCCTCTATCAGCTACAAGACCTGTTTTTTTAGTGTCTTAATAAGCCTGGATGGTGTCATGCTAAGCGTTCCCATTATTTAGCAATAGTAGCGCAGCCGACCGAGTTCTCGGGACCCTCACGAGCCGTCAGGCAAAGTGGGTTTCATGCCGAGTTGATCCAGTTTCCAGTTGGGGCGAAAAGGCGACAGCGAGCGAGACAAGCTTGACAAGATACCTACCTACTATAGGTAATCCCATCTCATCGCCGACCTCCAATTTTCTGGCTTGATGCAGGATATCCGGATTTCCGCAGCTTACTCGGCTTTAGCCATGGTCGAGCTGAAAGCCGCCATCCGGTGGGTTTGCCTTTCGAGGTGGCTTGGATCAAGCCCTAGGTCCCATCAGTTGTCCTTGGTTTGAGTGACCCAGGCGATGAGCCCAGTTCGTTAAGGAATAGACGAGATAGAGGAATACTATTCCCAGATTGTCCTCGGCAGAGTACAGGGACTACTAATATGGGTCACTGCTCAAGAATCCTAGCAAGGCAATGTGATAGAACTCGGAGCTCAAGGCACGTGTGCGTATAACCAACGGTCTCAGGTCCCAGAGCATGGATTCGACAGCACCAATGAACCGAGGCAATCGAGGGGAAGGATTCGAGAAGAAAGGAAAAATAGGGACAAGATTCTCGTCTGAAACGCAGAAGACTGGACCAAGTCTGGCCCAGTCTACTCCTGCGGTAAGTCGTAACTTGAGGCACAGCAAATGACAACACATGGCAAATGCTGCAGCAGGCAAGAGTTTGCGACTCCAACCCTCGATATGCGCAACTCTGATTTTGAAGGAGCCAAGCTGGGGAGGGGGGGCTAGACGGGAATATTACTGCTAAGAGTAACGCCTCTCTGAGCCTGTGGTGGTGCATCCCGGTGCTCTCGGAATAGTGCTGCGCCCAGTGTGCGTTTCAAGCAGCGAGGCAATATCACGCCAAATCCTACCACAATGCTTCTATGCAACTCCTTGCAGGTCGTGTAGTATGTATCGTATCTGTCTCTACCCATCCCTGCATCATTGGAGCCCAAACCAGGGATTGTTGCAGCTTGCCGAAGCATCACAGTGACAGCTCGAAGCAGCCGCAGACGACAAGCAAGTAAATTAGTAGCAACCCTCATCTTCGATCTTCCCACCCTCCTCCAGCGCCCCAAGTCCGCGAGTCAACGCCGTCAGTTATTCCCTCTGGCGTCGTAAGGCTGAACAGCCGCCCGTCATTTCCCTCAGACTAGCAAATGAATCACGTTGTAACGGTGGCCGAGAGAAGGAGATACGCATTGGAGAAGCTTTGCCACTAGATGCCTAGTGCTTAGGCATTATTGAAGAGGCTGTTTGTTCGGACCCGAGATGCCCTGCGTGGGTGGACGGCCAATGAGGGCTTTCTTGTGGCATCTCAGTCCTCGATATGCTTGAGAGCCCGGAAACTCTTGAGGACTTTCCGGACATTATGCCATTCGTGACTAGGACAACTGGTGGGCTGGCTTAGGGGGATGCAAGGAGGAGGGAGTAGGGATCGGTCAGTTTGAAGCGGAGGTGGGATAGTCATGCCTTTCCTCAATGAGCGCAGCAGACAGCAGGAGGAGATCGAAGACTCTAGACGCAAGTGAACATATCGAGGCAAATGACATCAAGGCTCAAAAGTCTGAATATCTCACAGACTATCGTGTAATATCTTGGAATATCTACCAACCTAGAGGTCAGACTGGCGTGACATAAGCTCTCAACACGGGCAGCGTCCGACGCCTATAAGCTTTGCACAACGTTTACCCAATGAAGAAACATGTGCATGCGGTTGACAATGTCCCATCTCGATTACTTATCAGCTGCCCTGGGCCGAGTGAGAATTCGCCGTCGGAGTAAGACTGAGCTGTAAGTGGCAGCTCCTCGTACTTTGTCTCAACGTCCTTTTCTGATAGCCAAAAGGGGGTGACTAAACTGATTGTCATCTCCACTTATTCTTTTGTAGAGAAAGGCTTGAAGTTGAAGTGAGCGACTCGTCAAGGTTCTTATTTTACAGAGCATTTTGTAAGCTTGTAAGCTGGTCCATGAGATCGTCTGCACTTGGTAGGTAGGTTAAGATTCTGATAGCAGGCCAGCCGATTGACTCTCAACCAACATGAAGTTTCTAATACCACCTCGAGTCTCTGGCTCTTAGACTTGATGCCGAATTACCTACCTAGATACTACCTTGTAGTGCTCTCTCAAATTACCTTTTAGTTATGGAGTTTTCCACATTGGTTCTCTACCTAGCAGAGAGTGGCAGCATTTTATTGTGCCAGCACTGACTGGTGTCGCGACTGGAGAGTACTTCCCGCTCCACACATGACACGCACGTGAGTGTGTACTCGCAAGTACTCCACGGCGACAGCTCTGGTGGGTCGCCGGAGAACCTCATCGCGCATCCAAAAGTTTCTTGCCTCACGACATTTCGAGTCCGCGATACTTTCCGCTTCGGTCCTTTCTGCTTCTGCCTGTGAATTGCCCGACCAGCAAACTCCGTCGCCATTACATTCCCGGAAAGAAGAAAAACAAAATAGATCTCAATTGAACCTCGGCAACAAGACGCGGCTCAATCAAGCAAAGCGGCTCTTGCGCCATGAGCCTTCTCGCAAACCCGCTCGCGACGCCCTCGCAGCTCTACCACCGCGCCTCCTCCTCCTCGCTGCCGCGAGAGCTCGACGAAGCCGTCTTTGTCGCGACGCAATGCCTGACTCAGGCCGCTGGCCGGCTGCTGCAGCTGCCGCAGTCGGTGACGGCGCAGGCCAATGTCTTGCTGGCGCGCTTCTGGCTGACGGAGTCGCCAATGGCCCATGAATTCAGCGTGGGTGAAACCTAGAGACACGAACGGAACCAAACATGATGGAATTACAGATGGCTAATGCTCGCCACACGCGCCATCGCTACAGGATGCATCAGCTGCCGCCATCTACCTCGTTGCGAAACTGGGACCGCTGCCTCGCTCGCCGCGTGATGTGTCGAATGTCTACGCCTACCTATCGTCTGCGAACTCGGCCCTCTTCCCGACAGACGAGCTGCTCAAGGACGACCCGCGGTCCTACTACCAGACCGAAGCCGACTACTATGCCTTTCAACAGCGGATGCTGGGCCTGGAGGCTCGCATCCTCCACTCGATCGGCTTTGAGACCCACGTCTCTCTTCCACACTCGCTAGCCATCACCTACCTCCAGACGCTCGACTTTCTATTGCAGCCGAGAACGACAGTCTCCCTACGGACGATACAATACCTCAACACCGCTCTGCTGTCGCCCCAGATGCTCTACATCACGCACCAGCCCAATGCGCTCGCCACGGCAGCGATATACAACGCGGCGCGCGACCTGGGCGCCAAGATGCCGGAGCACGAGTGGTGGGAGATTTTCGATGTCGACCGCGAAGAGCTCGGGTTTCTGGTGGTCGCCATGCGCAGCCTCGATGGCTGGATGCAGAAGCTCAAGGATGAGTTTCCGAGCTTTGGCAGTAAAGTGCTCACGAGGAGCATGGTCGAGGAGGAGTTGGCTAAGAGAGGGCTGCATGTCGGCAACGGAGATCAGGCGCCCGTGGATGCAGAGGATGAAGTCATGCGGATGATGGATAATCGGTGAGGCAAACGGCCCTACGATACACGATACCATGACGCATACTACGAATTCGCGCTGGTCGAACCGGACACCTCATACATGGATACACGGGTTGCCTCGAGGTGGGCCTCACGAAGATAATGCCAACGATACATCTTCGGATAACGGAAGCAATGAGCCCTTGGCATCCGGAGCCAACAGGGCATCTCGATCAGATTCGCGCCGATTCCTCCCATGATTCGCCAAGACGTCCCATCATCGCATATGTAGATGCCTCACTTTTCGGACCCCACGGGGCGTCGCTGGGCTGACGAAGAAAGACGGTTCAAACTAGGCTATTTGGATCGACCTAGAACGCCTTGGCTGAGGTGCTCCCTTGCGAAGAATCCTCTGCATCGTTCGTGGGGGCCTTGGAGCGGTGCCGTGATGCCTGGCAACGCCGGGTGGTTCTCACCGCTAGAGAATGTACTCGAACATTGCCACGGGCTGGTCGGTTTTTGTGTTAATCGAGATGGCTGTCATTGTTCCAAAAGGACCAGCGCGGCAACGCCTTGCCGTACCACGGTAATTTGAAGGGCGTATGCCTTTGCCGTGGCCCTATCCTCTAGCCAGAGTGGACGCAGTTATGGTGAGCACAGTCTCTAGGGAGGGCACAGGAGGAGACCAGATGGACGAGCGACTACGGTAAAAAAAAAAAAAAAACCACGCTTTCTGCAACAGCTGAATTCCCTAGCTGAGGCAGCACCGCAGCAATGACCAGGCGCCATTCCTCTTGAGGCAAGCCATCGGCATCTTGTTCTCTGCCTTGTGGTCCCCCGAGTTGGGAAGCGGTCAAAGCAGAGGTACTAGTAGTAACCACCTGTTAGCACAGAAGCCTTGCAAGGATGTCAAGTGTCAATTGTCAACATGAAGTGTCAAGTGTTTTGATCTCGGGGCCCCAGTGCGGGGGATCAGAAGTCAAAAAGGTCATGTTGGTTGGAGTTTTTGTTGAAGTCGTCGATGGCGGCGCCATGCAACGGGCTACTATGCGGGAACCGCAAGATCATAGACAGGACAAGATACTTTGTTAACTCCGGTCCGCATGATTCCATGAAAATACACGGTAGAGAACCAAAGTATACTGTTATTCTCGTGTAACATCATGCAGAACAACTCTCTTTCGCGTGCCCATCTTGTGCTCTCGAGAACCCGCCGTATTAGCTTTCCTGTACTGCGTCTCACATGTAGAATATGAAAACCATGTGGCAGCGGGGCCTAAGAAACCTCTCGATCCTACTTCTCCCCAAAAATGAAGTGAAGATGATGCTGCCCCCAAAACCAAAGTCCTTTTTCGTCGATCATCTCATTCAACATCTAGTGAAAACTACCCGTCGGCCATCTGCCGAAGCGGCGCCACCATCTCGTTGGACATCTAGACTGATCTTATCATCCAGAACCACCACGGCCAACGAGACAAGAAAAAAAAAAAAAAGAAAAGCCGAGATATCCAGAGGCTGAGGGGAAGAGGGTGTTGACAAGAGCCACTGATCATGTCATTTCATCGTTGGCGGCGTTGAGAGGGGAGGAGGAGGGGAAGGGACATGAGTGGTGATGAGGGGTGGCTTGTTGGCGTTGTGCTGGGCAAGCCGGTAGAATCCTGTGATGGCATCGTTCGTCGAAGGATGGAAGCGCACATGTCTCAGAAATTGTGCTACTACATACCTACCTAGTAGCCTTAGCGTTGGTCTGCTGTCAAGCTGAAGCTTCTTTTGGTTTTACTCTGCGTGACAGTTCTAGCCCTTATGTTGGGGGCCGGACAAACTCCAACAATCAACGGACACGAAAAGTTGGCACGCCCGTCAGTGTTTCTCGCCCTTATCATGATGTCCCTTTGACAAGAAAGTCAGTCCTTCGGAAACTTTACAACATTGGCACTTTTCGTCTCTTGAGACATTCGGACGCCTTCTTTCTGTAAACCTTTCGCGGTGTATCAAGGCCGTGCAAGTTCTTTGGTGTATAGTTGTATGTACACGTAGCAGCAATCACATGCAGGCCGTCATTTCTTGGCATCGGCATCGGTGGTGCTTCTAGAAGCCTTCGCTGTAACGTTTAGGAGGAGCGGAAAGTGCGCCATCTCACGTCACACAGTTTGGGGTCTCATTTCATTCTTTCGAGGAATACATGTATTACCTGTTCCCTTTCTCAACTTCAGTTCTACAAGGAGGAGAAACACCACCACGGTCTGTGTGTTCACATCATGACTGTCACCGTGACACAAAGAAGAACGTTTGTGCATTGAATTGCATTAGGTTCATCTTCACGGCCGTTGCTTCTTTTCTTTTTCCTTGGCCCACGCTTGTCCGCAATTTCCGGGCGTGACGGGATTCGGAGGACGTCTAACCCGCTTTCGCCGACCGATGGAGATGGCAAGGCGTTGACTTCTTGCAGGGCTCGGTGAAGAAAGGCCTCACGTGCTTTCAGCTTGATTGTTACGTGCATCCACCCTTGCAAGATCGTACCTGGGACTTGATAGGTAGGTATATATCACCTGTTTGTCTACATGTGGGCATGCCCACGCTCGGCATCGATTCTGTTGGACAGCGGCGTGGATATGTGTACTGTAATTTGTCCTCATGAAATCACCGAATAGGGGCGTGTTGACATGAATCAGTGCCTCCCTTCTCCAGACCGTCCCCATTCAGCCATGAACCGGGCCCGGGGCACCACAAAGACGCACAGGAAGCATGGACGCTGTGTAATTAGTATTACGGAGCCACGCCCCCAACATCTCCACACATATCAAAGCCCTTACAGCATTGCATACACAGGACCGGATCAACAAGCTGCTAGGCTGCCTAGTCTCAGTTGAACATTAGGATCAGAGAGGGGAATTAAATAACTCACCTACCTTATCCAGCTTGCCAGCTGAACGGCCCTACCTACCTAGCTACGTACCTTGCTACTTGTACCGATGAGACATTTGAAAAAGATACTCGTACTGTGCTTGGCTGGGACGGAAACTTTGGAGGCTTGAGGTTATCTGGCTCTGATCAAGGTTCTAGAATGCTTCTTACTCGATCCGGGCAAATATCATGCATAGATTGGCCGCTCATCAGTGAGATGGGTGTCATTCCAAAGGCAAAAGCAAATCGAAAACACTGACGAGATAGCGATTTGCTTCACAGATACAGCCGTCTACAACTCTCCGTGATAGGCTGAGGCAAAAAAAAAAAAATGCCCGTACATAAGGTACTTACGTGTGGTGTCTCCGAAAAGGCCGTCGTGGGGACCCTTGCCTGCTCTCTCCTCTACTGTACTGTACTGTACCTTATCCATAATAACCAATTGTTGTCGCCGGCCCGAGTTTGGATCGCTGGATCTCCGTTTCCGCACTATTTTTCTAATTGGATTCGGTGATTGGTCTATCACAATAAAGTAGAAGCTGGACCTCCCGTGTGTATAAATGCTTCCCCAGCTCCCCCGTCGTGCCCACGCTGGATCTTGCCTTCTCCCCCCCCCTACTCCAGCCTCGTCAACTATCGTACTCTCTCCTGATTTACGCAAACTCTGCTACAACGAACAACAGCTTGTACAACTTACTAGACGCATTCCACCCGCGATATAACCAGCACAACACAACCTGTTCAAGATGCCTTCCTCTGCTCCTCCTGCCGCTGCCGCTGCCGCTCCCGCCCCCGCCGGCCTCGGCGACAACAAGGGCATCAAGTTCCAGATCAAGACGGGCAATGCCCGCTGGGAATGCACTCTGCAGGACCGCGCTCAGTAGTACGTATAACCGGGACTTTCTACCTACCTACCTTATGATAGCCCGAGTTCGCGCATTTCCATGTCTCGCGAGAATACCTAGGCTCTAACACGCAAGAGTAGTGAGCGCATGAAGGCTCAGCGCAGCGACTCCACCGACTCGAACTCGTCTACCGGTTCTACCTCGTCTGCCGAGTCGCATTAAGTTGAATGTAAAAAACAAAAAGAAAGAAAGAAACACTAAAGAAAAACAAAAGGAGCATTCTTGGCCAAAGAGGCGAGAGTTTGCGTTGTAGTTTCTCGTTTTGATGCCATCTATTAGGTACTTGGCGCTGCTCTGTTTTGGGCAGCAGGTGTTATCCATGGCGGGAGTGATTTAGCGATTGGGAACAGTCTTTGGGCTTGAGGAGCTGTCTTGTCAAATCAGTATCATACCAAATTGCACATTGCATGTACAACAGATATGCTTGCGTCGTTGCTGAACCGTCAGTGTGACACTTTGATGACTGATAGAGAGATGCTGTCCCGTCACAGCGCGTGAAGAGGATAGGTACGGAGCAGGGGAAGAAGCATTGAAGACAAGTTGTCCGAGGAGCTTCCCGAAGAGGATGGTGAAAACTCAGGGTATTCACAGATGTTGTAGGACGAAGTGACTGAGAGGAAGGACGCTCAGTGAAGAAGGTTGGCTGTGACTTGCATGTCAGGGGTGCTCGCGTGATGTACTGCCTAGTTTTACGAAGTGGATGTTGAATGTTTTGACAGAATTGTATGACAGGATCTTGACGACCTTTCCTTTGCTGTTGCGTTGTGTTGGGACAAGCCCTGATTTTTGTGGTTGCCGACGAGATGATTTGGAGATTCGAGGCAGGTCTTGCTCTTGATCCACTACTTCCAGTTTGATGGCCATTGATTGCTCTATTCTGCGCCCTTGTCTTTTGGAGTTGCGTCTTGGCGCATTGATTCTTGGGTGTTCTTTTTGGAATGTTGGCTGACAATCCACGAATTGATATGCCGATGGAAGCCTGATGCAGCAGCTGTTGTTGGTTCAATTACTGCCATCCAATATTACCTTAGGTACTCAGTATCAGCACTTTGCCTTGAAGTGATGCCACCCAAGGTACATGTACCTGTGTATCACGGCAACGTCACAACGAGATGCGACTTGGATATCCTCAAAACAATCAATTGTTAGTCTTGAGGTATTACTACGAGTAGTAGTTGCCGTTGAGTACATGTACTCGTACTGGAGATGCATCTTGTTGACCCCGGCCACGCCTCCATCATTGTACATGAAGCAGCAGTAGCCTGCGTCTCTAGTGCCTCTGTCAGTCCAGCACTAACAGCACAGGCCCTGCAGCCGGCTGCCATAAGAAGATAAGGTAAGGTACTGCTACCTACCATGGCATCTCCTCCACACGACACATCACCATCACCATCACCATCACCATCACGACTGACAACTCGACTCGATGATTCAGCACTCGTCAGGCTCTCTTCACTCATTGGGCACGAGTGTGTCGAGCGCCAGAGGCAGCAGCTCGATGCGTTGTCACGACAGGTCAGCGGTCATGTGACCCCCCAGCAGCACGAGTTGAGCTGGTGAGGTTCTGCACAAGTATCGGGTACAGGCAATTGGCTGCCCCCCGGGCCGCGCACCAGCGTTACGAATACGCCGGCACAAGTGGCAAAGCTGCCCGCCCAGGACCACGCAATCGCTTCGCCTGCTCGCTTGCCAGGCCCTCGTTGAACTGTGTGTGTGGCGGTTTGGAGGCTTGGACAGATGACTTTTCTCCTCTCCTCTGCTGTGGCGGAAGCTCTTTCATCTCTTTCCACCTTTTTCACTTCCTGCTCAAGAATTTTCACCTGTCTGAGCTGCTGTCAAGGTAGAGCCGGCGGAAGAGCAGAGTTTACAGACGGACTGTCGCTCAGTTTTGCTGCGTTTCCTCTCTCTCTCTCTCGCTTGCTCCTCTCCTCCTCACCTCTCCTCACCTCACGTCTCTCTTCTCTCACCATTCCCCTCCTCCTCCTCCTCCTCCTCCTCCTACTCTTATCTCCCTCCATCTCCGGAAATAAACGTCAAACCACGCAATCGCAGAGCTGCAGCGATTCGTTGGCGCGCGCATTGCCCACGTCGGCAGCTCAGGCTCTCGTTGCCTTGCGTCTGTCTGTGCCTTGCCTGTGCCTTGCCTGTGCCTTAGCCGCCCGTCTGCTGCCCCTCTCGCTCTTCGGCAAGCTCTGGCCTGACCTTGGGCCTCACCTGTATTCTGACCTACATACATACCTACTTACCTTACCTTCTATCTACTTCTACCCTTTGTTACACTCCCTCTCACCTACATAAACCCGCCAAGGGACCGCCGCCATCATGCCCATAGCGCATCATGTCGTCCTGGCCTCGGGCGCCGTTGTTGCCGTGTCCGTCGCAGTGGCCACCTTCATCGCCATCTACGAGTCTCCCGAGCTGCGCCAGTACGCAGACGACGTGAGACGACGCATTGCCATGGCCTTTTACTCCATCGGTGACGGCATCACGCCGCCCGCCAGGGAGCCCCGCTTCAACAGGCCCGAGGACGCCGACGGCTTCTTCGAGTCCCGCCGCGGCCTCGGTGCCGAGCCCGGCGTTGACGCTGACGACGAGACCCGTCGCCGGCAGAGAGAGGAGCTGCTCTACTGGAACTCGGTGCGGCTGCAGAAGGAGCAGGAAAAGGAGCAGCAGCAGCACTCGTCCGAAAAAGAAGAAGCGCCGCCTCGACCTGACAAACTGCCTCGTCGCGGGTCAACATTTGACGACTTCCTGCGGCCCGACGGCACCGCTGAGCAGGGCGCATACGTCTTCAACTCTGGTGCTGACGCTAGGGACTTTGGCGGCCTTCGTCGTCGCGGAGAGGGCGCCCGAGGCTTCATGTCGCCCGCCTACAGCAACCCCTTTGCCGACGAGCATCACCTCGACGCCGATGACATCCAGGACGCCCACATCGCCCACCAGCTCGGCCCGGAGCCCAGCGAAATGTCCGACATTTACAGCGCAACCACGCGTGATGACCATGACGAGCGAAGCGCCACTCTCGAGGCCCTCTCGCCCTCGCCGATGGTCAATGTCACACCGCTGGCCGCCGGTTCGCAGTCGCCGCCCCCGACCCTCGAGCGAGAGCTCGCCGAGGACGAGTACATGTCCGCCGGCCAATCCGACCGCCATGACGTCCATGCCACCATCCAGGCCTGGGCCCAGGACTCGAGCCGTGACTTTTACTCCCCCCTCCCCGTGACTCCCGTAGCGCCCATGTCCGAGCCCGACGTCATTTCAGAGGGCGAGCTCACCCCCACCGACTCCATGTCGCTCGCTGGGTCTGGCGAGGACATTGCCAATGATGCGCACATGTCCGAGCGTGACAGCAACGGACGGTACATGGACGTCATGAGCGAGAGCGAGGGCATGCTGACGCCGGCGAGCTGGTCCGAGGTGGGCAGCGTCATCAGCGACAACGAGGGCCCGATGCACGCATGAGTGAAAACACGTGAAATAGCCTATGCATATTGGGGATGTTCTCATGCGCGGCGAGACTACACCAAGGTGCCATTTTCCTTATTGCTTTCGTTTCCGTTGTTTTATGAATTCAGGGGGGACTTTAATGGAGTGGCGTTGGGATCTGGCGTTTTCGGGTTCATACACAAGTCAAGACATGACATACCTACTGCAGGCAGCCAGTCCTCCCATCGTTTATAGGCGTGCGTTACTCTGTATACGGAGCATTCCGTTTCTTTCTACTGCTTTGGATATCATCAAGGGCCACAATGGCGGTTGCGACATTGCTGTTGCCTACTACATGCACTTACATCGTCTGCACGCTGTTGTGCTCTCAGCCCACGTTCGATTCTATACGGCTACAAGTCAATCAAATCTGGTTTGGACCAAACCTCTTCATTCCACCGGTCTACCTATACTGCTTTGTCTAATTCCAATCGTCCATGTACATGATTGTCCAATCGTCCATGTACATGATGTTAATGGCAAAGACATACCTCGTCCAGCTACAAGTCCCTACTGTCTGAGAGTTCTGGTGTAGTCTGCAAACAAACTCTTGACATCCTGCGCAAAGAGCTGCAGCCAAAAGGAGCGCTCGTCATAGCGATTCACCCTCAAACTCTCGTTGATCCTCCGCACCGTCCCGTTGCCAAACCTTCGCTCCAGGTAGTCGAGGAAATAGGCCGTGTGCTGGTAGCCAGCATCCCAGTTATCCTTGACCTCCTGCTTCCAATGCGGCGGCGCCAACCCGCAGCGCAAGCGAACCCAGTCCGCGATGCCCTCAATCAACCCTCCCGGCGCCCTTCCCTGTCCATTGTACTGGAAGCAGTGGACGAGCTCATGGGTCAAGACGCCGTCGATTTCGTTGGCGAGGCGAGTGCGGTCGATGTGCGAGATGTACGACTGCGAGAAGTGGATTTCCTTGACGTTGTTGTCCGAGGAGTTGCCGACGGTGTAGGCGACGCCGGAAAAGTCCTCGAGGATGAGCGTTATGGAGGACGTTGGCGGGGGGTGGGTGGACGGGTCGTAGGGGCTGTTGTAGAGGAGGCGGAGGAGGTTGTTGATGGCGCGGGGGATGGTGATGGAGGGGTTTGTGGAGGAGAGGAAGAGGGAGGAGCCGGGGTGGACGAGGTTGGCGATGCGGAGGTTGAGGGAGGGATTGGGGAAGGCGGCGGTGGCGGCAGCGGAGGAGGAGGCAGCGTCTTTGTGTGCGGTTTGGTCGTGATGTTGTTCGTGATCTTGGGAGTTGGTGGTGTTGGCGTTGGAGGAGGGAGGGAGGGCACTTGGCTTGGGGAGTTGAGTCATGGTGCTGGAAGTTGTCGTCGTTGATGATGGTTATGGTTATGATGATGATGATGATGATGCTATTTGGCTATAGATGCGGATGATTACTGGCAAAGATATGAATAGAGGTGCTGAGAAGGCCTGGGTGAGCTTATGTCGTCAGCGGATAGAAGCCGTGAGGATGAGAATGAGCCTTTATATCCAGCCGATATCTACATGCAGAGAGGGTGCATCTCTCTGAGACAGGGGATCACAGACTCATTCCAGAACATGACGATGGCATCAGGCCAAAAGAGAATGATGACGGAATGGCAGAGCTCACATGAAAACCAAGAGCGAAGACGAGGAGAGCTCACATGGACATGGACAGGTCGTGTCATTCTTCTTCAGCCGCAATATTGTCTTATATCCACCACCTCTTCCATCCAGTCTGGCGGGGGCTGCAACTTGTACAATACAACACCTTAGTACTCACGATGGCGGGGTACCTACCTGAGGGGACCCTGTAACCGCCTATGGAAGCCACCTCATGGACTAGACGCTTTTCACGGGCCCTGAAGCTCTCCCGGCATGCTTCAAGTATCCGATACCTGTCGCCCTCAGGGGCGCCACGCCGCAGTGTCCACTGGCAGTCCCCTGGAGAGATTCACTAGACCCGCCAAATCTCATTTAAATAAGGCCCCTGTCCAAGTACCGTCTACACGGCGCCGCAGCCCCTCTCTCTCTCTGCTTCTTCCCCCCTCGCTCGCTCGACTCCAGTCTGCTTAATCACGCCCCGCACGAGCCAATCACAGCCCCAAGCTCCCCCCCAGCAAAAAGCCGCTAAGCCACGCGTGGCGCAACCGGCGACCGGGGCAACAGGCCTGCAAGCCATGGTCACGTCACGCCGCAACAAAAACTCGCTCCTTTGATTGATTTATTTTATTTTATTTTATTTTTTTTTCCCATTTGTTTTGGGTTGGAAATGAGCTGGACGGGAACCATCGCACCAAAACTCCACACACACACACACAACACCATCACAACACAGTTGCCGCAACATCAACAACAACAACAACACCAGGAAAAACCACGCGCGCGCGCGCCGCAACCACGGAATCGAAACGTCGATAGTACTGAATAATAATCGCAGAAGCACATCGAAAGGCGATAGAAGAGATCCAGAGGAGGCAAAAGGGGGCACGTCACAGCTGCGAATTACATAAGGCTTTGGATCTGCGCTGCCCCTCCAGCTCCAGATGCAATCGCCATTCCAGCGATTCCTGCGCATCGTGTGTCTGAGACCTTAGCATTTGCCGGCCGAGCGACAACACGAGAGGACGAAGCAAGAAGAAGGAGAAGGAAAAGAGAAAGGAAAAAGGGACACCCTCTTGGAGAGAGAGAGAGAGAGAGAGAGGAAGAGAGAGAGAGCGTGAGCCTGTCCTGAGACGCAAAGGCGCGCAAACGACCTCAAGTTGTTCCTGTGAGTACACTTGCGCTGCGCCAGGCTGCTGCTGCTGCTGCTGCTGCTGCTGTTGGTTTGTTTGCGACAAAGCCAAGTCAACAGCGCGAGTCACTCCCTTTGCTTCAACACATGATGCGCAAAAAGCCAAAGCCTGACGCTGACACGCCGCAGGTCATCTTCCAGCACGCAGCTTCCACCGGCGCCATGGCCGACACCAAGCTCACCGACGACCAGGTCAACAACCTGGCGGCCGTCCTGCGCAACGACAACACCCACTTCGACGTCAAGGTCCAGTACGTAAACGCCATCAAGACGGGCATCAAGCAGCACAACATCCCCGAGACGTGCATCCCCCAGCTCTTCGATGGCCTGCGCCTCGCCTCCAGCTCCCAGCACGTCGCCCTGGCCACGGCCGGCTTCACAGCGCTCAACCACCTCTTCACGCGCATGTCGCGCCAGGAGCCCAAGTACCTGGCCAAAGAGGCCGCCCGCACCCTGCCCCTCGTCATCGAGAAGCTCGGCGACTCCAAGGACAAGCCTCGCGCCCTGGCGCTGCAGAGCCTCAACACGCTCTACGCCGTTGCGCCCGCGGACGTTGAGCGCTCCATTCGAAACACGGCCATGGTCGGCAAGAACCCGAGGGCCAAGGAGGCGTCCATGCAGTGGCTTTTGGAGGTAATTCATCGCATTCTGTATCCTGTGGAGGCGTGCCTGGGCTGGCTGGGGGCTAATCACAAACACTCTCTCTTTTCTCTTCCTAGACCCATCAACAGCACGGACTGCCGTTTCGTAGCTTTGTCCCCATGCTCATGGAGCTCTTGGAGGATGCGGACGGAATGGTCCGAGATACTGCTAAGAGCACCGTTATCGAACTCTTCAAGTGAGATTCACTCTGCAACACCCCCTCGCATTGCGTAACAACCGGCTGACACCAAATTCCCCCCAGAAATGCGCCCGGTGCTGCCAAGTCCGACCTGAAGCGACAGCTCAAGAACTACAAGGTCCGACCCGCCATCGAACAGGCCATCGTCAAGGCTCTCGCGCCCACCGGCCCTCGCTCCGAGACCCCGTCCGATGCCGCGCCCGCCGTCTCCCGTCCTGCCCTGTCCGCGCCCTCGTCCTTTGCCGCCAGCGAACGACCCGTGACCCCGATGGCCGAGACTCCAGCCGAATCCGTTGAACCGCAATACGTTAACACCCATCGCGAACTGGACGACATCCTTAGGGAGATGACGCCATACTTTGACGGCAAGGAATCCGAGCACAACTGGATGAAGAGGGAGCAGAGCATCGTGACGCTGCGCAGGCTGGTGGCTGGCAACGCCCCGGCCGACTTCCAGGACACGTTCATTGTTGGCCTCAAGGCGCTGCTGGATGGCATCATCAAGGCCATCAACTCGCTGCGCACAAGCTTGTCCAAGGAGGGTTGCAGCCTGGTCCAAGAGATGGCCATCGCGTTTGGGCCTGCCATGGACCCGCTGGTTGAGCTGCTCATGCAGACGTTTATGAAGCTCTCTGCCAACACCAAGAAGATCAGCTCCCAGATGGCCAACACTGCCATAGACGTCATTGTGAGCAAGGTCACCTACACGCCCCGTATCATGCAGCACATTTGGGGCGCCGTCCAGGACAAGAATGTGCAGCCGCGCACGTATGCGGCCGGGTGGTTGATTACCATACTGAAGAAGGAGGCTCATCACAAGAGTCACATCGAGCACACGGGGGGTGTCGACTTGATCGAAAAGTGTATCAAAAAGGCCCTTGGCGACGCCAACCCGACCGTCAGGGAAAAGATGCGGGCGTGCTACTGGAGATACTGGACCATCTGGCCAGCGAGAGCAGATGCGTAAGTCTTTTTTCACACTATGGCATATCCAGAGAGAACTGGTCTAACAATTGACTTGAACACAGACTCATGGCCGACCTGGATACCACCGCCCAGAAGCTGCTCCTCAAGGACCCAAACAATCCCAACGCTGGAAAGAAGGTAGAAGCACCAGTTGCTTCTTCCAGGCCAGGCGGCTTCTCACGGAGCACCACCGCGACCAGCAGCAAGCCAAGTCTGAGAGACGCCATGATGGCCCAGAAAAAGGCCGCGCTGGCTACGAGGAATCTACCGAGCCGACCTGGATCCGCCATGTCCTCGTTTGCCGCCGCCTCGCCTCACACCTCGAACCCGCAGCTCAGCTCAACTGCCTCGAAGCCGATGGCTCGCCACCGAACCGAGGCCAACACGGTATCGGTCAACGCAGGAGGCATGTCGGTCGCGCCCATGCGGCCAGCCAGGAGACGACCAGAGGTGGCTCGTCCCGCAACGGCAGGCCCATACTCCGTCCGAGACCAGCGCACGTCTGTGGAATCTCACAGCCCAGAGGGCGGTAAGTCTACCTCTGCGGCGTCATCGACCTCCTCAAGGCAGGGAGGCGCGACGACGCCAAAGAGGCCATCCTCGAGGATTCACCATGCATCTCACGCAAGCGAATCGAGCGTTGTCTCGCCTACGCTCGCTCGACCAACCGGAATACCCTCGCCGCGAGCAAGCCCAGCCAGGATCAGGCACTCTCAGACGATGCTTCATACCTTGAGCCCAACCAGGGCGACTGACGATCTTACGCTGGTGGTGCCGACGCTTTCTAGCATACAGTCGGCTACATCCAGATTAGAGTCGCCTCGGCAGCCAGACTTCAGGCGTGCCTCGCCTCCCGCTGGGCTCCCCTCTGGAAACTCACAGTCACCTCGGACGCTGAAAGTATACGAGGATCCTTTCACTGACGACCAGCCAACACCGGCTGCATCGCTGCCAACTGCGCCTGTCTTGGAAGAGAGGGCGCTCAACGAAGACGCGGCTAACATTCAAAGGCCGATGCAACCGCCGCCTCTGTCGGACGAGTCCGGCCCCCCAGAGAAGAATGGACAAAACGCTCGACTGCTGGACAGCGGCATCAGCAAGATCAGGTCCAAGACTTTGGAAGTGCACGGCTTCCGAAAGCTGCAGTCCCTGATTCGAGACCCTAGGACGGTCTTTACCGATCAGCGATTCGAGGCTCTTTTGGTGGGCTTGTTCCAGTACCTGGAGGATCCGCTGGCCGACCTCCCCGCAGACAAGGCCCAGGACGTCAAGGCTCAGATCCTGACGACGATCAAGCTCCTCCTGAGAAAGGAGCGCAAGAACTTTCAGCCTCACGTTTCGCGGGGGCTCGAGTCTCTCCTGCAGGCCCGCGGCAGCTACGACACCAGGGCTCACGTGGTTAGCGGCCTGGAGCTCCTGGCCGACGAGCTGGTGACGCTCAGCGACGGCTCCGAGACGGCCGTTGTGCTGACGAGGCGCCTGCAGTCGTGCAGCGACACCACCGTCGAGGGCTGCCGCACCCTCAGCATGGGGCTCCACGTGCTCAAGGAGATGCTCGACAAGCGGCCCGAGTACGTGCCGACGCACAAGGAGCTGCTGCGGCTGACGGGGCTGGCGGGCCGGTGCTTGGAGTCGACGGACTCGGGCGTCCGGATGGACGCCGTCAAGCTCTGCGTGGCGCTGCATGCGCGCGTCGGCGAGGCGGCCTTCTGGGAGGGCATGGCGGAGATTAGGGACGATCCGAAGAGCTTGATTACGTATTATATCGTCAAGAAGCAGCGCGAGGACGGCATGTTTTCATGAGGTCTGCTCTTTGTTTTTTTTTTTTTCTCTCCTGGACTATTTCACCTTTTTTCTTTCCAAAAACACTCTGATGCCCCAAATCGCGTTGAGACGGAGTCTGGAGGCGTCTGGAGAACGGAGCAAGGGAAAGGAGGGGAGCTTTGTTCTCTGGACGGTGCGCGAACAGACGACCCTTTATAAATACAAAGAGAAAAGGAGCAGAATGAGGGAACCATTGCTTTACTCCAGGAGACGTGATTTGGAATACGTGGATATGTGGTTGTTTTGTGAATGAAGGGAGGGAAAACAGACTTACGTTGTGAGAAGGTGTTTCTTTCTTCTTCTTCTTTCTTTTTCTCCTTCTTCTTCTTCTTACTTTACACCTTTTTCTAGTTTGTGCTTTTTTTTTTTTTTTTTATCTTCGTCTCTTGTGTCTTATTACCAATACTGTCTTGTAAACCAAAGTTTTGCCTCCTTTTCTTCTCCTTTTCCCTTCTGCTTGTTTTATTTGTCCAAAGCAAAAGCTGTATTTAGTATTTGTGACATTTGGCCCCTTTTTATTTTCTCTTCGACTTCGAGCTCTTTGAGTTATTTTGCCTTGTGATATTTAAGCGGCTGGCCTTGCTACCTAGTTTTTTTTTTTTTCTTACTACCCAACTGTTTTGTAATTGAAGGTTGATAAATGGACATTTAGTTTATTAGGTATTAGTATTGTAATCTTTGTCACACTTTATCTGGTGTCTTTATAGAAAATATGGCTCTAACTAACTGGTGAGGTTTAAACTTAGTAAAGCTAGATTTGTTTCTCTTGTCTTCACTTTTAAAGGTTTATTATATCACCTTACAACACCATACAATTCTCTTCTTTAACGCGTTTAAGTAGGTAACACACTATAGAGAGTAAATTTCTTATTCTCTCAATAAAGTGTATAAATATAAATGTTTGCAGAGGTAATAGAAGCAAGTAGATGCATCTCTAGTACATCTAGAATCACCAAAGAATCAATATTCACAAATTCATACATACATACATACATACATATCTTCCCTAGCCTTCTTCTTCCTTTTTGCGTGGGTAGATGCTGTTTATCTGATTTCCCTCCTCTCAGTTCCTGATATGATTCAGAGCAATCAGCCCATTTGCCCAGGACTTCAGAATAAAGAAGCTATTCGTTTATATTCTTCATGTCCGCCTGCGTGCTCAGCGCCATAATGCCACACATATCCAATTCCACCTTGTAAAAGGTATATTTCAAGTATAAGAGTACAAAAGACCACAAACAAATGATATTGCAAGGTGATAATCACAAACAATGTTGATTTCGAGGCGAATGTTCACATGAAAGGGGGACATATAATAACTGGCAGCCAGAAAAAAACAAAGTCATCACATTACACTCTCCCGTATCATTCATTTTTCAACCTCCCCTTCATCAATGCTCGCAACGCATAATGCAAAACCATACTTCTTTCAGAAAAGCATGCATAAACCTCAAGCATTCATGAAAGAAACCAAAACAGAATCATTCGGCCTGCTTGTTCGGGATACAAGCCACACAAAGCTAGCTCCAGTTGAAGCAGTAAGATACATACGTGTCATGCCGCGCCCATGATATAAGAAAAAGGAAGAAGAGTCCAAAAACCGGGCGGACGAAACGTTGGGGAGAAAAAAAAGAAAAAGAAAAAGCCACCGACAAACAGTAAGTAGCAGTTTGCAAAAAAGATGAATGCGAATGGGGGACACGGTGCAAGAAGTCGGAAGAGGGACGAAAGATAGACAAAAGTGCCCCCCCTAGCCTCGCCTTCGCTGCGATCTCGCTCTTTGTTGAAGCCGGTGTACAAAGAAAGATGAAAACATTCGACATTACTTTTCGTGGGACAAGCAGCACAAAACGCCAAAAGAAAACTTTCGTCTCGCTAAAACCGACAAACCCGAAAGCAAGGGGGAATCGAATCATGACGAGGAACCACCAGAAGCCGTGTGCGCATAACAGCGAGACAATAGGATCCAACACCATCAACACTGTGGCTGACCAACCAACATGAGATGGTCCTCCCCGCAAGTGCGTGTTAGCATAGGACACTTATTCATCGTCAAAGATCCTGTGCGTGTTTTCAATGACAAACTGGACCGCAAGGTTCTTGTTGTGCATGTCCGTCATCTCACGCTCAATGCTGAGGTCCCGCATAATGGTTGGCGCGAACACGACGGCCAGGTTTTTCGGCGACATCTAACACGCAGGTTAGAACGAGCAAGTCATTAGGCAACGATAAAACGACTCACCAGGTTCTCGGGCTCCCTAATCGCCACGCGATGAAGATGGAACATGAGAAATTCCAGACAGTCGCGGTGGCTCTGGGGCATCGAAGTAAAGACCTTGTGCAGATAGGAGCACCGTTCGGCCTCGTCCAGGATGGCTGCAATAGAACGTTAGAATACAGATTCATGTCGGCAAAGAGGGTGCGGGTGCAGGAAAGCAAACTCACAATTCGACTCCAGCACTTTCTCGTAAATGTCAAACGTCAGCAGAGGGTTGGGCAGCTTTCGGAAGTACTGCTTCAAGACGCTCGTGACGGCAGTAATGTCGAGGTCGGGGTCGGAAATGTCATAATCTTCGTCCTTGTCGAAGCCCTCCTTGATCTGGTTGATCTGGGAGTTGCCACCAGTCTTCCGGTAGATGCCCTCCTGATCCATGCCTCTCAGCTCCACCTCTTCGATGCATCGAGTCACCACACTGGGAATCTGGCGATGTTCATACTCGCATCTCTCCGAGAGCTCTGATCCAAACAGTGTCGAGGGAGGCTCGGGAGCTGCCTGGGCGACCACGACGTTGGCCGGGGCGACCGGGCCCGTCTTGGCCGACGCATTCTTCTTTCCAAAGAAGCCAAACTGCTGTTGATGCTGTCGTCCAGCAGGCTGGCTGGAAGACCCAGTGGTGGAGGCGTCGCCCTGCGCCACGGTCATGTTGTACGGGATGCCGATGCTGTCGCCGCCGGGAGCCATGCCGCCCTGCTGCTGCATCCTCTCGCGATCGTTCTGGAAAGCAACGACGGCGCGGCCGACGCCCTTGGTGATGTTCTGGGCCATGGTCTTGGAGCCCTTCTTCCAGTTGAACTTCTTGACTTGGCCCTTGCGGACGTGGACGACGGTAGGCCCGTGCTCGACAATGGTAGGATCCTCGTCGGGGACGAGCGTCGTGCCCGTGGTCACGCTTGCGGTGTCGAGGTTGATGGACGAGGCGCCGCCCTTGTAGATGCCCAGGCCGTTGGACTTGCCGTCGCCGCCAATCTGCGACTTGAAGCGCTCCTGGATCTGGTGCGTGAGGTCGTTGTTCATGTCCGCCAGCTGGGCGTTCTTGGAAGACAGCTGCTCAAACTCCATGAGGGCACGGTCGCGCTCCGTCACCGCCTGGTTCTTCTCCTCAAGGAGCTGATCGCGCTCCTCGTGGAGGCGCTCAATCTCCTCGGTAAAGGACTGCTTGACCTTTTCGAGCTTCTCGACAAACTCCTTGATGGCGGACTCCTCCAGCTCCTTGACATCAATGGGCGCCTGCGTCTCCTTTGCGCGCTCGACGTAGCCGGCCAGCACCTCGAGCTGTCGAATCATAATCTCGGTCTGGGTGTCCAGCACGGAAACCGTCTTCCTCTTCTCAATGAGCTTCTGGTTGATGCTCAGCAAGTCCTTTTCGGCGCCAAACTGCCTCTCCAGCTCGGCCACTCGCTGTTCAGACGACCTAAGCTGCTGCTTGAGCACCGCGGCACTATCCGGCGCCGTAAGCGAGGCAGGGCTTCCCACGTCCTGGCCGTTGGCTTCGTCTTGGGACTTGGGCCAGCGAGGTGAGATGGCGCCGCGCGTTGTCTCGCTGATGCTGCGGGTGTGGGTGCTCCGAGCCGCGAGGTTCTGGTTGGACTCAACGCTGCTCGTGCGGCCGTGGCGAACAGCGTTGGAGACGCGCCTGAGGATCGACGACGAGCCTTCGTCGGCGCCGAGTATCCTGACCATGTCCTCTTCCATGGTAAAGTCCGCGCCGCTGCTCCACCTAGGAAGCTTGGGCGAGCTCGGCGAAGCGTGAGCGCCCTTGGGCACCGGCGGCGCAGGCTCCTTGGGCGGGCTCTGCGTGTAGCTGCTTGGGGGGACAGGCGCTGCTCTGGGCTGCATGTACGTATCAGTCAAGGCCTTGTCAGTAGCACCGGACCTGGAGGGAGGGCTCTGGCGTGTAGCATCCTCGCTGGACGACTTGCCCTGCGCGGTGCTCGGGCTGCCATTGACTGGAGCACAGAAATGTCAGTAAAGCGAACGTCCACGTAGTTGCATCATGTGTAAGAAGAAAGACAGGCGGGTGAAAAGTACCAGAGCGGGTAGATGCCGACGGGACCTCCTTTCGCGGAATGGTCTTGTTCATGCTGTCAGAGCGAGGTCCGATCTTGGCGGTGGGAATCTCGTCGTCCGGTGCTTTGGAATCATAAGACGATCGTGAACCTGGAGTGCTGTCCAGCGCCCTTCGCGGATCAGACTGTTGTGATGTGCTGTCTTTCCGCGGAGTGCTGGTGCCGGTCCGACTGGGAGTGCCGTCCTGCTGCTGCTGCTGAGGGACGGACTGCGAGCTATCGCTCCGCGACTCGGTAGGTCTTCTCTTCTTGGGAGCATCCTGCAGCTTCGTATCATCAGCGGATGATGACGCCTTGGCGTCCGACTTGGAAGCCGAGCGAGACCCCGACTTGGACTGTGAGGGGTCGGCCGCGGCGGCGGCGGCAGCCGCTCCCATAAAGGCGATGTGCGTGGCGGAGGAATGCGAATCGGCACGCTTATCAGACATGGTCGGCCGAGGCGCACTCATGTGGTCCTTGTCCTTCTTCTTGCTTGCCTCGCTGGTGCTGCTCTCTTTCGAGGTGCCATTGGGCGACTGGGCGCCTGTGTCGAGAGCCACGGATATCAAGAAGCCGTCGCCACCATCACCGTTGTTGGAAGTAATAGTCGAGTTGCGGTTCCTGCGATACGTGGTTGATGGCAGGCTAAGCCC